TGTATGTATGTATGTATGTATGTATGTATGTATGTATGTATGTATGTATGTATGTATGTATGTATGTATGTATGTATATATGTATGTATGGATATATATATATATATATATATATGAGCATTACACATACGTTGTGCTGTTGTTTGTGCGTTTTTCACTCGTGACGTCCTCGTGATCGTCGTAGCAAGGGAGAGGTGCCTATCGCACCGATTTACCTACGCTGTTGTAGCCAGCAATAATCGATACCACTCGAAACCGAGAGCGGAGATACCAGGCTCTGGGGTATTTGAGAGCAGCTGTCTGCTCTGTATAAGGGTAAAAGGACTGAGTAGCTCGAATGGAACCAGGATATCATTTGACTAAGTCAAGTCTAGTGACTGACAGTATTGTTTCATTATCCTAACAGACAAGTTGGGCCAATCAATGACCAACTGACTACCAACCCTACCACGACCTTGACACCACGGACGGCTGCTAGCAAGTCGCCAGGATTCTGGCAAGACCATCCCGAGTTCGAAGGTCGCAGCACACACTCCAATCAAGGTATACAGAGAGCAATCATATAGTAGGATCATTTAGTTCACCCGCACACTTTAGAAAGGTCACAACCGACACTCCAATCAAGGCATACAGGCACGCGTATAGGCGATAACTTAGCTTCTGGACTCGTATATGCCACTTGCTGGCCTGAGAAAGATCGCAACCGGCACTGAAACCTCAAATTTAGGTATACACAGACATACATATAGAGGATACGTAGGCAACTAGACACATGTTGAGTTCACTTACACTGATCAAGAAGGTCTCAACTTGCACTCAAATCAAGGTATATGTAGGGATGTAAAATGCCAATCACGTAACTCTTTGCTATTCACGGGGTCGACAATCAAGGAGTTCACGAAATAGGAATAATCTTTGAAACAGCTGAACGGCGGGTGTATGTGCTTGGCTCCCGTCCTCGCTGGCTTGTGTGGTGGCCAAATACTAGTGCACTTCTCGTTAGTAAATATCTATCCCGTCCTGTTGTCGTCGCCGTGAACATCGCAAGTCTCGTTCCAACTTCTAATTCCCACAAGTATCGACCATATACCTCGATATTGACTACAGGTCTACATCATGTCTACCGATATAGTCAAAAGTCGAGTCAGTGAAAGAGAATCTGTCCTAGCTTTTACTTCTGCGTCCCACACGTTTGGACTATATACCTCAGCCTAAACTATTGGCCTTCAATTAGCCTACTACCGGTATAACAAAAATTCAGACCGACAAACATCACATCTGTTCTCAATTCTTCGTCTGCGTCCCACACAGTACTCAAACGCCTCAAATACTTCACAACGGATCCCGTCGCCCCGTTCGAAGAGTCCTCGCCCAACAACACACCCACACGCTCGACCGATGTCAAGCCAACGCTTGATTTGTCACGTGCCGAAATAGCGTCTCTGTCCCGCTTCCATCGACCCGTACGCTTCCAGTTCCTGTCAAATATACAGACACTCACGCTGGCGTACAATTTCTTGAGCGATATAAAGCCCTTGGCTGGCAGCTTACCCGCATTGCAAGGTGAGGAGGAGGCTTTGTTCACAAATATGTACTAAGCGAACCGGCGTGCTGCGTTTATGGAGTCTATATCGGTCAGATCTATGTATCTGTTTTGTGTGTGTGCTGTATTTCTATAGTATATTCATAGTATGTTAGGGTGCGACACGTATGGACAGGTTGTGAATGCACATTTCATCATTACAACTGCAATCATTTCGTAGTAGTTGAAGTTTTTGGTCGAGAAGCTCGTGTCTGATGTGAGACCCGAGAGTAAGGAGAGTGTATGAGAGCACAGAACTGTTTACAGGTTTGGTACACCTGTGATGGGATGTATGCCACATACATATCTTGCATCCGTCAAACAGAAAGTTAGCCTCAATTAAATAAGACCGCTGCACGTGTCCATCTTCGCTCCGAGCCCTGTGTAACCCTTTACCCCCTTTTCTGCGCAGTACTGGATCTGTCATACAATCAGCTTACCTACATGGATGTAGAGACATTCGCCTCGTTGCCCCTCTTAAGGTGGCTGTCCCTGGACGGCAATGACTTTGCATCATCCAGATTGGCATTCAATCCCTCGGGCGAGAACCAGGACAGGCTTGTAGCAACTGTACCCTCTCTCCAGGTACGTGCGTACATCTTGGTCTGTGTTTTATATATATTGGGGTTGTTAAAATATATATTAGATGTGTGTGACAAACAGACTATGCATCGTGTGCAGCGAACGATACGCAGATATCATAGTAACTAGGCCAATGAGGCAAACCTCTAGCTTGGCTCATAAAACTTGTCTGGATTGTCTTTTCATCAACTAGTTAATATTTGGGAACAAAGAATGCATTCTGATCCGAATGCATACACAAAGTGTGCCCGGTTACCCACGCTTCTGTTCATCTACACCATCTAGAAATCGTGCTATATTGTTTAGGGCGTAGTGATTTTGTTCTTCGTCTGAGGTACCAATGCGAGCTTGGACTGTACCCAACCCACCCACAGCCAATCGATATAACTCATACTCGGTATCTCTACCCTATGAACAGCAACTATACAATATTCACATAAGCATACTTCATCTCATTCATCTCAATCTCTCCCATCGCCAGGCGCTGAGTTTACGCAACAACGAACTCCAGAGCATCCGAGTGCACGGTGTATCGTTCGCGCGAGCGTTCCCGAACCTGCAAGATCTGAATGTGGATAGCAACAGCATCACCACCTTAGACTTGCGGGAGCTGCGTTCCCTGCGGGCGGTATCCATCGCCAACAATCTCCTGGGCCGGTCTGCAGGTGAGTGTGGTATGACTGCACATTGCTTTATCAGGATGATTTAGAAGTAGCGCTTTGCAAATACCTGATTTAATCACCGAGACGCTCACTACAGACCAGCAACTCGTCTCATCGCTCTGTGTGATTGTCGTTGTACCAACTGATATGGTTACCTACTTGGGTAAAGCCTGCTGGTTTTCTAACAGAACCTAATCGCATAATATACCTTCTGCGGTATCCAGATCCGCGTTCTGTGGACTTGCACCTGGCCGATTGGGCGCATGAGTGCCTCTGGCTGCCGGACACTACCGAGAGGGTGGTAGTAGACCACAACTATCTGCAGTCCATCACTGGTCTCTTGTGTCTCCCAAACTTGAAAGGTAAATATCTGTGCGAATTCAGTGGTAAAAACTAAGTGTCTTTGTGAATTTAGTGGTAGAACGAGTGTGAAGGCTTCTGCGTATATCTCGTAGATTCAGGTTGTTACAGATTATTTGCGAGAGGGGTTTGGTAGACCACAACTATACCCATCTGCAGTCTATAGCTGACATTTTGTGTCTATTGCATTGGAAAGGCAAGCGTCTCTATGCTGCCAATGTACTGGAATGAAACTGAACGGTTGGTACATATTTCGCCATAAGATTTGTGCACGCAGTTGGTCTATGGATGATATTATGGGGAAAGACTCCAGCGACCTGTAGTCTCGTCTCTGGCCTTGCGGTGTTTACCACATCCTAAGACTAGTATTCTCCTATCAACTATGAACGTGTGTCTAACGAGTATGAAAGGTGCTATTTATATATCAATCAGTAATCTATGTTTTTCCTTGGGTTGATACGTGTTTATCTAATTTGATAGGTGCGTATTTCCTCACGATGTACTTGACTGCAGTTAGGCACGTCTTGTTGAGAACTTGTGGTTTAATAGGCAGCCTTTTTTGTACTTGGTTGTGTCCCAATTATCTGCAAGACACTTGTAGCCATCTATCCCTGACGAAACCAAACACTAATACCAAGGGCAACTACAGAGTCACCGAAATAATGTATGGGCGCTTTCAAGACAAATTTAGACTTTGAGATCAGAAAAAGCAACGACTTGAAGACTGGGGTTTTAGGTTAGGTTTCATGAGTCATTGGACTGCGTATACTGAGAACCTGGTGAAATAGGTGGACTAAAACTGCCCAAACCTTATTGTCTGCAGTGCTGAAGGCGTCCAACAACCGCCTGTCCTTCACGGGAACGCGAGAGGGATCTGAAGCCAACGACACGCGTGCACACGCACAGGGAAGCATACACAGCACATTGAACGAGCGCTCTCCGAGGCGGCACTTCCAATTCCGTCTACCTAACGGGACATCGCCGCTGCGCGTGCTGGATTTATCGAACAACCACTACAGCACCCTGGACTTTCTGACAGCCCAGGCCAAGCCCTTTGATGCAATAGATCACTCGGGCACCCACCCGTCACGTACCCACGCACTGGCCCAGACCCAAGCATACTCGTTCCACAAACTGGCGGTGTTGCTGGCAAACAATAACCGGCTCGAGCGCCGTGAGTGTGTGCTGAACATCGTGCAGCACCTACCCGAGCTGGCATACCTCGACACCAGAGACAATCCGTTCTTGCTCACCACCCTCTTTTCCGCTGCTAAGCGATCGGAGATGCCTGTGGACGGCTTAACAGGCACACTCAGGGTCTCCGATACCTCTAAACACCCCACTCATCCACGTCCGTACTCCGATAGTCCATCTCGGCAGGGCACACACACTCTCACGCACACTCACACTCGCGAGGATACCGGCCTGCTTTATACTGGTCTTGCTAGTGATTTGGCTGTACCGTTCCGAGACGCGCGTATCAAGTTGGGTGAGCGAGTGGTGGATGCTCGTGTGGCCGTCACCTCCAGTACTGTGCAGATTGACAAGTTTATCAGCACTCTGCCGGTACCGCAGAAACAGGTATTCGATATATCGCGTCACTTACCGTTAGAGAGATTATATGCCTATATATATATATATATATATATGTGTGTGTGTTGGTATAGTTGTGTGGTACATTAAAAGGGCTCAGCCATTGTGTATGGTGCTGCATCGTGCTGCTAGTCACAGCTCACAAAGTATCGTATTGTAGCTGGATTCCATGCTATCGGTTTTGCTGGTTTGTTGCTTGTACGCTTCTTGCTTTTGTGCGCATACCATAGCGGCTTGTATGCAAGTTGAAGTTGCAGAGATCTCCGAAATATCCTTAATGATGCCAAGTTAGGATTAGACTGCGAGGGGGTTCGCTAAGAGCGCGCTAACACGTCCATGTCGTATGCGTGTCCGAAGTCAGTTCGCACTCTACACTATGGCCTCGATGTAAGTGGCTCGTGCACGGACAAGGACAAAACATCTGGCATATATCACGTAGAGTCCAAGTGTGCTTACCACCTCCCACTGTCGGTTGTGCGCTCACATGCACGCACAAAGGCAATGTATATCATGCTTTGTTGAAGTCAATTCGGCAATTGCGCTATTTCGACTAGCGGAGATGTTACCATTCGAGATGTTCACGCCATGGCTCACAGTTCTTTCTCCTCACACCAATCGCAGGCGTTCCTACAACACCGCAGAGACGTGCGCACACTCGCCCACCACGGCTCGACTACCAAGCTGCAGTTTCTAGACGGGTTCATTGTGCTGCCAGGCGTCGAGGACAAGCAGCTCATAGCCATGAATGCAACCAGCTTCACCCCGTCGGTCCCAGATCACACACAGCCGCCGCCGAAAGACCAAATGCGAGCCCATGGGAGCAACCAGAATGGTTCTCTAAGCGCTAAGATACAACCCAGTGCCATTGCAACAGCTAAACACAGTAACACACACTCCCCATCTGCACAAGAGGGTAGCGAGTTCCCCTCGCTGAGCAAACTGGCCCGCGCCCTGGCTTCAGTGAAAGACCCTGCGCGTGCACATGGCCTGTCTTCGATGTACGCGACAACTGTACCGACTGTAGCGACCGAAGCCAACGGCCGTTCTAACCATGGTATGCACGCAGATGCACACAACGGCTCTACACTCCCTCAGGAGGGCGACGTAGAGCACACCAAGGATAGTACTGGTAGCACCAACCGACCGCAGGGGAGCTCGCCAATAGACCCGAACTCGGGAGACGTGTCCTTCATGAAGTTACCCACTCTGTCCAGCACAGCCGGGGATGTGGGGGTGACTGGACCCGCAGGAAACGGTCCAGATGGTGTCCACAACATGCCCGCGAGCCTAAACCTAAACCGTATGCACTGCGAGAGCGGCCGTGCCAAGCCGGAGCTAGGTATGGCCATGAGCTCGAATGCTACCGGTTTGCCCGAGAGGGGTACAACCTGGGCTGCCTCAGGACAAGCCCAGCGTATACCTGCGAAGGAGTGTGGGACTGTGGGGCCAGGCGGTCCCATCTCGTTTGTGCATGTCAGCGATGCGAACGAGCCAGATACCGCTCAGCGCCTGGGCGGGAACAGCTGGAATTCACCACGTGTCCAGACACACAGCAAGTTACGCGAGACTTCTACTCGGTCACCCTCGCCGATAAGTACGAATGTGTATGCGCCCTCCAGCTCCCATCTCGCCACAGACACGTACACGTACACGCAGCCAGAAACCGCGCACCCACGCACACGGCTGCAACCCGTCCCGACAGCGTATGGTGGACAATTAAGGAGTACGGTGCCCCCGTCGCCTCCGTCAGACGAACAGTTGCTCGCGACCCTCTCCTCAGACTCACTGAGAGATGCGGTCCGGCGATTCCTCGGAGTGACCAAAAGCGACTCAACTCGCCACACGGGTAACTGTATGAACCATTGCACACGCGTACACGCCGATGACATGTCGCATCAGCGGCGAGCTAATGTACACGTTAGCGCGGCGCCCTCACCACTGAAGACAAACAACAAGACCGATGCGTCGATCTATGCACACGCCACAACACCTTCTCGCCCGAGCGCGGGGTCGAGGTCTACGTATGCATACGCTAATGGGGGCCCTCTGGGCTTCACACCCGAGAGTGCCGGCGAGACACCGACGACTGTGGGTGGAGATACACCGCTGCACCAAGAAACACCTGCGTCTGCGTCTGGTACGGTTGGAACCAACTATTCCCCGCGAGCCAACATCGAGTTTGAGGAGGACACGCCGAAGGCGAATAGTGGTAGTAACAGTCGCCCAAGAATGAGTCAGCAGGCAGATGCACCTCACGAGGGTACCGGAAGGGAGGGTACTGGCTTCAAAGCGCCTCTGAGACATAGAAGGGACAAGCGATCCGACTACGCTGAAGACACTGACACCATCAATGCAGCTAGCGGGCGGGAGAGGAACCGGAATTCCGGGATGAATTCCGGGACACGGATGTCGCCAGCTAGTGCCGGGTATGATAACGAGGCTTTGGAGATGGAGCTGGAGTATACGGATGACAGCGACACGCGTGGGAGTAGTGGGACGCGCAGAAGGCCACACAGACGCGATTCAAACCCGCCATCCAACACTGACGAGGACAGGCGTGTGAGAAATTCGCCTCGGCGAGAGGGTAAGAGGCGGACTGGTCAGGCCGTAATATCAGCGGAGCGAGTCGACAGTAGTGTGGCTGTCGCGGGCGAGAAGGGATGGCCACATGTTCCCGCGGGATTCGGAAGGAGCGCGACACTGATCAAATCGTACATGCAGGATAGCAATACGGTATGTGCGAGATAAATGGGTATAGTCTCAGCCCTAGGTTTCTACACTTGTCAGTACTAAGCTCATATTATCTACGATTGAAGTGCTAGCTACAAATCGAATGTGTGGGTGTTGATGCTTTGTGCGTATGTAGGTTAGACTCACGTCTTTGTCTTGGTCAAAAATTCCAAGTTCCGGCGTTAAGGAGATGATACGAGTATAGTATTGTTTCGGTTCCATTTCACTGTAGCTTGAGTTGTGTAATTTCCGCAATATGATGGTGGCACACAATACAATTGAATGCTGTGATTGTGGGTCACATGTCTATGAGCATTTGTTGAGATTGAAAGAGCATTTCATCAATACTACTGTACTCATTTCTACGCAAAGGCACAGGGAAAGAGACCCAAAGACATACATGATTACGTTGAGACGACGTTTGTGTTCGTGAATTTTATTTTATTGATCATTGATGCGGGCCTAACAAATATTTGATGCTCCTCACCTCCGATGCAAACACAGATCGATGCCACTACCCGGCGGCGAGAGTCATCCCTTCTAGAGCTGGAAAGCGTCCTGGACATACATGATCCGAGGCTTCAATCGAACGGGCGGTATATCGGCAGATCTAACAAGAAAAAAGACTATTCGGCCGCTCCTTCAAGATTGAATCAGGACAAAATAAAATCATCCCGTGGTACAAGACGAGGTCCAATACAACCTTTAAATGATCACAGTCAACAGACGCTCTACAATCAAGCACACGCTCGCGACTATGACCAGGATAGCAACAACTTAGGCACTCGCGACAACCCACAAGGTCGACAGAGGTCTGGAAGACAGTCTGTGGTGTTCCACGATGATGTGGAAATGCTCGGCTCACCTCGTACATCGAATGGGGGCGGCTCGCATTCTATGTCTGACGAGCTTCTATATAGTTCTCGGGTATTGCATAACCGTCCGCACATGACACAAATAAGGCCAGTAACATCGCCTGCGCCACAAATGCGCTCGGCAATTTACCGTGGAAGAAATACCGGCGTTGGCTATGGTTACACACAAACCAGAGGGACGAGCACGGCAGCGAAAATGGACTCTGGTAGGAACACAGGTGATTCGCAGAAGGCGGATATAGTTGTACCTCAGTGCACGGACAGCTCGCGCTTGCTGAAGATGATGCGACGGCTATCAGCGGAATTGGGTTCAGACCAACAGCAGAGTGGCCCACCTCCCGTGAACGCAGTGGTGAAGGGTGGGTCCTACGAATGCGATACAGTTCGGGGATATATAGAAGACATGTGCAAGTGTACCCCTTCGGTAATGAAGAGTTATAATGACGTACTGAACATCCGGATCACACAGCTGACGCGTACGTTCAGCCCCGATCGGTTAGAACGATTCGAGCGTATAGGCGGAGGCACATCAGAATTTCTTAATGACCTCGGCTCGAGTTCAGGGGTTGGTGCTTCCCAGTCCAAATTACACGCACTTATATATGCCGACACGGGGAAAACGCTGGCAAGATTGGTGAAACATGGATTCTCGGTGAGGAGTTCGACAACCGCGCCCTTGATACTCGAGGCGGGTGTTTCACGTGCGGTTTCGTTCGCACAGCAGAACAATAGTCGTGGAACGGTAAGCTGCTTGCTCGTGCTTGCCAATTTGGGTATGTGCTGCACGAACTTCTCTGGCGACTACAAAGACTTCATGCAATCATGGGAGACTCAGACGGTGGAGCTGCTGACCAAAGGATACGATTCGGTTCGTTTGGCGATCCGGGCCGATGCTCGGGGTCCGAGGGGAGATACAGCGTATGTGTATGTCCTGTTTTCGCACTTTCGACTGGCCGCGATTTATTCCTGTATATTCACTCTACAGTAGTATACTGATAAATAATCTTTAAACGAATCTTAATAGTATTTTTTTGAGATTCTTAGTGGATCGCTGTAAACGAAGATTTTATTCTATTTTAAAATGTTTCAATTGCTGTATGGGGCATAAGGCATGAACGCACAACTGCAAAACAAATTGTCTGTACGGTAGAGCTGAGGTTCGAAGTATTCGACTAGATGTTTTTGGGTGGGTCTGTTTTCGATTTTCGGATCGGATTGTGGGGACTATAGAAGAGAGAGTAGAGACTCTTTTGAGTTATTTCTAAAAGGAATACTTTTGCTCGGCACTATTTATTTATAAAGAAGGTTTGTATTTATTTATTTTTTGTTTTAAAAACAAATACGATGATGCATACAGAAAGCAAGGAATAGACAAACATATATAAACTGTTGTTTTCTAAAAACAAACAACTTTAAAACTATCATATATTTTTTTAGACAAGAAATTTAAGAATCCTCAATCATTCTTTAATGTAATAAATATCTATGGTACGATAGTGTCACAAGAAAAAGCCAATAAAAGAACTGTACAGAAATACACATTTATCACGGAGCAGTGCAAAAGTGTTTGCTCCGAAACTCTAGATACCAACGCAAAAGTTCTGATTTTTGTTTGGAAAAGTATAAATATCAAGAATAGGGTTGTGAGGGTTGAGCGTTGAGTCTGTTGAGACTTGACTCATAATCTCATTTGTACAGACTATTTACAGACTACAGTACCGTGTGGTCACTTGGATCTTGAAGTGTTTCACCAATAGAATATGAATAGCCACATGCCCAGTTTACCTTTGGAACTATGCATATTTGTTTTTTAAAAACAAACAGAAACCTAGTACTAAAAAAGTAAAAATAGTGCCCAATATATTTTTAGGCTACAGATCGTGTGTGTGTATTATTCGTTGTTTATGAAAGGGGAATTTTGTTGCCACTTGTGTAATATATACAGTAAAGTGTGTTGGCCGATGAGTAATACATTCACTACATAATACGGTCATATCACATGTAGTTATGTACAGTACCCGAGGGCGGAGTACCGACCACCGACTACCGTGTGGTCACTGTGGATCTTGAAGTGATTCACCAATAGAATACGAATAGCTACATGTCCATTTTACCCTTCTTTTATGTGCAAACTGCAAACGTTGTAGACTTGCAATCCAACTGCCCTAGTGTCCAGCTTTTGAATTTTCATTGGTGTGGAGTTGTGGATTACGTTTTACAACTTTACAAGTCCACAATTGCCACCCCTCTCTATTCTCTCCCAGTAGAGAGTAGAGTCTAATCAGAGTCTCAGAGAGAGAGAGAGAGAGTCTACCGTACAGTAGCACCACGATGCAACCACAACGAATTCCTGTCATCGTAAAACTGTACTTTAGCATGGAGATATCCACCATCAAATTGTGCTCCCAATTT